AAAATCCAGAGAAAACTTTTACTTACTAGATGACCAGTTCATTCTAACTCAGGACCAGCCAGATGGAAGTGATGCATAGGGTAAGGGTATGGGAAAGTGTGTGAAGTTTCCATGCCCTCCCTGGGCCTCCCATTCCCCCTAAATCTCCATGTGTTCAGCAGCCTGAAGCTCTCTGAACCCTGTCCTTTGGATTTTTATGGGGGCTTCATTATCTAGGCATAGTTGATTAAATCACTAGCCATTGGCGATTGATTCAACTTCCAGCCCCACTGTCCCCCTTGGAGGTCGAGTGGGTGGGACTGAAAGTTCCAGTCCTCTCATCAGAAGATGGGTTCTCCTGCCAACCATTCCCTATCCTTCAAGTGAAAGGGAGAGTCGCTCAGTCTTGTCTGCCTCTTTGCAACCCCATGGACTATACAGTCCACGGAATTCTCCAGTCCAGAATACTGGAGTGGGTAGCCATTTGCTTCTCCAGGGGATCTTCCCCTAGCCCAGGGATCGAGCCCAGGCCTCCCACACGGCAGGCAGATTCTTTACCTGTTGAGCCACTGGGGAAGCCCTCCCCATCCTTAGGTGTGGACCAAAAATCGTCTCATTAATACAACAACAAAAGACATCTTTGTCACTCTCATTGCTTAGGGAATTCCAAGGATTTCAGGCTTCTCCACTTGGGTGAAGACCAACACACGTCTTATTATAAATCACAGTCTCCTAGGGATTAGGAGGCGGGCCAGAAGCAGGGAGACTTCGGTGGATCTGTGCACTCCCAGGCCCCACTGCCTGTCCCGCACCTCCCCACCCACCAAACTTGTTCCCCAGATTTCCACTCAGCGCAAAGTCAACATCTACAACATCCTCCAGGAGGTCACCCAGCAGGAGGAGGAGCGCTCCGTCCAGAGGGTGGTGGCCATCGCCTCCAGGGAGATGTGGGGCATGCTGGAGGCCGCGGGGGTCCTGCCCTGCCCGCCTGCCACTGCCCCAGGGGCTGGGCTCTGGAGGGCCAGTGGGATGCCCGAGGCCTCCGTCCGCTAAGCTCATGGGGACAACAGTAGGCTGAGGGGGCCCAGGAGAGCCCAGCGGAGCCGCAGCAGGCGAGGAGCAGGCACTGCTGGGGCGGCCACGTGTCCTCCTCCCGTGCCCTGCAGATGGACGGCTACGTGAGGGCAGAGGTGGCCAGCGACACCCTGGTGGCCCTGTCCCGAAACCACTTCAGCTTGGTCATGTACGAGCTGCAGCTCCATCTCAAACCCCTCAACCTCACGGAAGAATCTGTCATCGTCACCCTGGCCAAGCTGGCCAACGGCAACGGTAGGGCTCGAGGGGACTGGGCCCCAGCGTCTGCCCGCCGGGCCAGCCCTCCGCCTCTGCCCTGGTGCCCGCGCCCGCCCGCTCCCGTGTCTCCCTCTTCCGGCCTTCCTCCGGCCTTCCTCCGTCTCACTTCCGGTGTCTCTCCGGCCCTCTCGGCCGCTGAGCTCCCCTCCCTGTGCCCCGTCCTGCGTCTTTTCTCCTGCCGGCCCTTCTCTCGCACGCCTGTCTTTCCTGCTCCCTCTCTGGCCCCGGTCTCTCCCTCGCTCCCTCCCTCCTTCCCTTTTGAGCCCGCTCCGCGCTCCGCGCTCCGCGCTCCACGGAGGCCTTGCGGCGGGCAGTGGCCGCGGGTCAGGAGCCCCTGGGAACCGGTACACGAGAAAACGGAGTGTCCCCATGGAGAGGGCGCGCGGCTGTCCCCTGCATCCCCGCCGCCTCACCCACGGCCTCTGGTCGTCAGGCTAGAGTGCTTATGAGGCAACAAGGGAGTGGCGGCCTGGGAGGGCGGCCCACGCCCCGCCTCCTCACTCTGCTCCCTGCGGGCCCAGGAAGAGCAGGGCTCTTCCCTCTGTTCCTCCGTCCCTCCGCTCCTCCTCCCCTCTCCCGGTCTCCCGGTCTCCCGGGCTCCCCTCTTCTCCCCCTCCCCCCTCCCCGCTCCTCTTCTCCCCCCTCCCCTCCTTCCCTTCCCCCCTCCTTCCCCTCCCCCCCTTCCCCTCCCCCGTCCCCTCCCCAACCCCTGTCCCCCTCCCTCCATTCCCCCGTCCCCTCCCCACCCCTGCCCCCTCCCCCCTGCCTCCTCCCCACCCCCTGTCCCCCTCCCCCATTCCTTTCCTCCCTCCTCCCTTCCCCCCTTCCCCCCTCCCTTCCGCCTCACCCGGTCTCCTCTCCTGTCACCCCATCTCCCCTTCCCTCGTCTCCCCTCCCCTCATCTCCTTCTCTGTCCTGGGAGACAGAGGGGAGAGGAGAGCAAATGGAAATGAGGAAAGGAGAGAGGGGGAGGGGAGGGGTGGGGGAGGGAAGGGGAGAGGAGGGACAGGTGGAGACGGGGGAGAGGGATGGAGACTGGGGGAGGTCTCCGCTCCCCTCCCCCATCTCCTTTCCCCTCCCCCGTCTCCCCTCCCATTCCCTCTCCCCTCTCCCTCCCCTCTCCCTCGCACCCCCGTCTCCCCTCCCCTCTCCTCTCCCCCTGTCTCCCTTCCCTCTCCCTGGGGGGCAGTGTCGATGGGGAGAGAGGACGGGAGGTGGAGGGAGGGGAGGGGAGACAGGGGAAGGGGGGGGGAGACAGGAGGGGGAGGGACGGGGAGGGGAGACAGGAGCTGGGGGGGACGGGGAGGGGAGACGGGGAGTCAGGAGGGGAGATGGGGAGAGAGTTAGATACAGGGGGTGGTGAAGTCTCCTCTCCCCTCCCACCCTTTTCCATCCCCTACCCCATCTCCCCTCTCCCCCCAGGTCTTCCTCCCCGATCCCCGTCTCCCCTCCCCTCTTCCCCCACCCATCTCCCCTCCCCTCCCCTGTCTCCCCTCCCCCTGTCTCCTCTCCCCTCCCCATCTCCCCTCCCAGGGACAAGGGAGGGGAGATGGGGAGGGGAGATGGGAGGGGAGAGGAGACATAGGGGAAGGGGAGGGGAGATGGGGGAGGGGAAATGGGGGAATGGTGGGAGACCGGTCTCCCCACCCCTCCCCCTCCCCCCAGCTCCCCTTGCCTTTTCTCCCCTTCCCTCCTCTGTTCCGTCATCTCCGTCTGAGTCGGGGTATACACAGGAGAGAGGAGATGGAGGTGGGGATAGGGGAGGGGAGAGGAGGTGGGGAGAGGGGAGAGGAGAGGAGGTGGGGAGAGGGGAGTTGGGGAGAGGGGAGAGGAGCTGGGAAGAGGGCAGGGGAGGCTGGGAGGGAGAGAAGGGTAGACATCTCCCTCTCTCCCCTTCTTTCCCCTCCCTGTTCTGCCCTCCCATTCCCCCTCCCCTCCCCTCTTCCCCCACCTATCTCCCCTCCCCTCCCCTGTCTCCCCTCCCCCTGTCTCCTCTCCCCTCCCCATCTCCCCTCCCAGGGACAAGGGATGGGAGATGGGGAGGGGAGATGGGAGGGGAGAGGAGACAGGGGGGAAGGGGAGGGGAGATGGGGGGAGGGGAAATGGGGGAATGGTGGGAGACCAGTCTCCCCACCCCTCCCCCTCCCCCCATCTCCCCTTGCCTTTTCTCCCCTTCCCTCCTCTGTTCCGTCATCTCCTTCTGAGTCGGGGTAGACACAGGAGAGAGGAGATGGAGGTGGGGATAGGGGAGGGGAGAGGAGGTGGGGAGAGGGGAGAGGAGAGGAGGTGGGGAGAGGGGAGGGGAGAGGAGGTGGGGAGAGGGGAGGTGGGGAGAGGGGAGAGGAGCTGGGAAGAGGGCAGGGGAGGCGGGGAGGGAGAGAAGGGTAGACATCTCCCTCTCTCCCCTTCTTTCCCCTCCCTCTTCTGCCCTCCCATTCCCCCTCCCCTCCCCCTTTCCCCTTCCCCATTCTCTCCACCCCTCCTCCCCTTCCTTCTTGTCCTCATCTCTCTTCCCCTCCTCCCCTTCTCCCCTCCCACTTGCCCCCTCCTATACTGCTTTCCCCTTCCCCCTACCCCCTTTCTCCCTCCCCTTCCATCCCCCCTTACCCCTCCCATCCCCCATTATCCCTCCCCTTCCCCCCTCTCCCCTCCAATCCCCTTCCCCTTCTCGCCTCCCCATGTCCCCTCCCCCGTCCCCCCTCCCCTTCTACCCTCCCCCTCCTCCCCTCCCACTTCTCCTCCCCTCCCCCATCTCCCCTCTCCTGCACCCCCACGTCACCCCCCCCCACATCTCCCCTCCCCTGCACCTGATTCCACCCCTGCCTCCTACCTTCTCCTGTGGCCCAGCCCATGCAAAGGGGTTCCCTGGCCCTGTTCTGGGCACTGGAGGTGTGGGCGATGGTGTTGCCATCTCTGATGACCCTCCTCCTCCGACGCCCTGAGACCTCTGCCCACACCTCGCAGTGTTTGAGTTCATGCCACACATGGGCATCACCCTGGCCACCGTTTCACCATGCTGAGGCTCGCCAATGAAGCCGAGATGTGCCAGGTGACCTATGGTGGAGAGTGTCCCGCCTGGGCCTGCAGGTCTGGCCTGATCAGGGTGCTGACAGGAGGAGGTGGGTGTACAGCTAGAGACAAAAGGGCAGTGGGGATTGCAGGAGAGGGCGACCAGGGAAACGGTCCCAGCTCGGGCTTGACTTGGGTCATTTTTATCTGATCCCCTTGCCCCAGGTTTTGATTATGTCATGATTTTGTGGGCCCAAGTCCCCAGTTCCTGAGAAAAGTAGGACAGAACGTGTTGGCCACTCTTTGCTTTGGAGTCCCCAGGATCTGAGTTAGAAAGTCTTCTTGGAGGTCTCACCCTTGACCTTGCAACATGAACCTCAAGGCCGGGGGCCCAGTCACACCTGTGTGCTCCACCCCCCGGGGGAGTCTTTCACCCTCAGACAGGGAGGGGCTTCATGCAAGACCAAACTTAAGGAGCTGAGAGGGGGGTTGGAAAGGCAGATGGCGAGGGCTGCAGGAGATTTTTCCAGCAGCATCTCTGGCCATCTCAGTAACCCACTGGTTATGGAAGTGTGAGGGCTCCTCCTGAGAAGGCGCCCCGGAAGGCTCTGTTGTGCGTCCTGGCCCTCGGGGCTCACTGCACGTGCCCCAGGGCAGCCATGGAGACCTTCTGCGAGACGGTGCAGTTTTACCTGAGGCACCTGGAGGACAGCGTGTACCCCGTGATGACTGAGGACCAGTTTGCACTGAAGCTGTTCCCCATGTATCGCTACTTCGTGACGGTGTGGCTGCGGAACAACACCCCGGAGGTGAGACGGGCCCTCCCGGGTGGGGGTGGGAGCCCGTGGTCCTCGGGTCATCGCTCTCCAGCCTGTGCAGCCGGCCGGACTGAGACACCACTGGGTCCAAGGAGGTGGAGACCTGATCGGCAGAGCCAGGGGGGCCCTGCAGGTGTCTTGATGAAGGCCACTGGAGTTGCTGGACCAGGGTCCCTGTTCCACGTGTGCCGGGCACTCTCCGAGCGGTGCACTTGTGGGAGCCATTTCCACGCCACCTCCGGGTCATAGGACCGTTTTACAAATGAGGAAACAGAGACACAGAGAGGTTGAGCACCTGTCCAAGGTCTCCTGAGTGAGAGTCAGGACTTGGGGGCAGGCTTGGCAGCTGGGGGACCCGGGGGAGGCCTGGACCCTACTCCAAGGTTCCCTCAGTCACCTGTCCTTGATTCCGAGGCTGGGGCTGATGTCACAGGACCTTCCTGGTGGTCCTGGCCGAGGGGTCTAGAGACCAGGCTCCTGTGCTAGGTGAAGCTGGGGGTCATCAAGTCCCTGAAGCCCATGCTGAACCTCCTCCTGCCCAGGGATGCCCTGCGGGACCAAGTGTACGACTCCCTCCCTCTGCTGCTGGCGGGGTACCAGGGCAGCCTGGAGGCACTCTTTATCACGCGGGTGAGGGGCCTGGGCTGGGGGCTCAGGGTATTTAGGGCTCCTCAGTGTCCCGTGGGGTGTTCTCATGGGTGGGAGATGTAGCCACGGGACCTGGCACTTGTCCGATTTCCAAGAAATATATGCTGCCGTGACACATGTGTTAGCCACTCAGTCATGTCCGACTCTTTGCGACCCCGTGGACTGTATCCCGCCAGGATTCTCGGTCCATGGGATTTCCCAGGCAAGAATACTGGAGTGGGTTGCCTGTTCCTTCTCCAGGGGATCGTCCTGGCCCAGATATCAAAGCCGGGTCTCCCATGTTGCACGCAGATTCTTTATTGTCTGAGCCCCCAGGGAAGCCATGCAGAAAGGATGATGCCTCAGAGGGCTCTGCGCCCACAGTGAGGCCACAGCTCTCATAGCGGTTTCCTAAGGCTGTCGCAGCAAAGAGCCAGGAGGCAGGTGGCTTAAAACCACAGAGATGTGGCTGTCATGGTTCTGGAGGCCGGCAGTCTGAAATCTCGGTGTCAGCAGGCTAAGCTCCTTCTGTAGGCTCTAGGGGAGAACCTTGCCTCTTCCAGCTTCTAGTGGCCCAGGCACTGCGTCACTCCAGCACCCCGTCTGTGGTCACATGGCCATCTCTGTGTCTCTCTCTGTCTTCTCCTCTTCTCGTAAGGACACTGATCCTTGGATGTAAGGCGTTGTCAGGGTGATCTCATCTTTTTTTTTTTTTCAGTTTTTATTTTTTTAAATTTTTTTTTGTTTCATTTATTTTTATTAGTTGGAGGCTGATTACTTTACAATATTGAAGTGGGTCTTGTCATACATTGACATGAATCAGCAATGGAGTTACATGTATTCCCCATCCCAATCCCCCCTCCACCTCCCTCTCCACCCGATTCCTCTGGGACTTCCCAGTGCACCAGGCCCGAGCACTTGTCTCATGCATCCAGCCTGGTCTGGTGATCTGTTTCACTATCGATAATATACATGTTTTGATGCTGTTCTGTTGAAACATCCCACCCTCACCTTCTCCCACAGAGTCCAGAAGTCTGTTCTGTACATCTGTGTCTCTTTTTCTGTTTTGCATATAGGGTTATCATTATCATCTTTCTAAATTCCATATATATGTGTTAGTATGCTGTAATGGTCTTTATCTTTCTGGCTTACTTCACTCTGTATAATGGGCTCCAGTTTCATCCATCTCATTAGAACTGATGCAAATGAATTCTTTTTTAATGGCTGAGTAATCTTCCATGGTGTATATGTACCACAGCTTCCTTATCCATTCGTCTGCTGATGGGCATCTAGGTTGCTTCCATGTCCTGGCTATTATAAACACTGCTGCGATGAACATTGGGGTGCACGTGTGTCTTTCAGATATGGTTTCCTTGGTGTGTATGCCCAGAAGTGGTATTGCTGGGTCATATGGCAGTTCTATTTCCAGTTTTTTAAGAAATCTCCACACTGTTCTCCATAGTGGCTGTACTAGTTTGCATTCCCACCAACAGTGTAGGAGGGTTCCCTTTTCTCCACACCCTCTCCAGCATTTATTGCTTGTAGACTTTTGGATAGCAGCCATCCTGACTGGTGTGTAATGGTACCTCATTGTGGTTTTGACTTGTTCTTGAGAGCCTTAAGTAATTAGGTCTGCAAAAACCCTATTTCCAAGTGAGCTCACATTCTGAGGTTGTGGGTGGACATGGATTCTGGTGGCGGGGGACACCATTCAACCTCTTACCAGCCTTGGACGTGTGTGAGATGGAGTCTTTGCAAGATTCTGAGCCAAGCTGTGACCTGGGCTTCTGTATATTGTGAAGGGGGTCACTCATTTACAGATGAGGCGAGGCCCTTCTCCTGGTGAGAGCTGGGAACAGAAAAAAACATGCAGCATTTGGGGAGCCACGTGCAGACCTTCTGTCTAAAGTTGGGATGCACTTCTAGGTGGCTAGGGGAGAAAGGGGAAGAAGGCCTTGAACACCACACTCGGAAGCCCTAGTGCAGACATGCCAAGCTGTAGTGTCCACCGCAATCCTCAGAGGCGGCTGGAAATAGAGTGGGACTAGGGAGTCTGGGCAGGGCTTGAGAGGTGGCCTCTCTGCCCAGCTCCCAGGGGATACTGATACATCCAGAGGGGGAACGTCAAGGGGCAAAGGTCTGGCGTTTGACCTGAGTAGGTCGAAGGTCACCTGCCACCCTTTCCCACCTGCTGCAGGTCTTGAGGCAGATCCTGGAGATGTCATTCATCATCAGTAGCCCAGTCCCGCAGATGCAGCTGCACATCATCTTCACGGAGCTGCATGTCCAGGAGAGCCCCAGGGCTGCGCGGGGCGTGGCCTTCCCCAGGGCGGGTCAGGGGACAGGGGCTGGGGGCGGGTAGGGGAGGCGCGCTGAGGCCCTGTGGTGTGCGGACCAGCGCAACCGGTGGCAGGGTGGCGGTGGGGCCCCGTCCGATGCCCGAGGCCTCCGGCCTCCTGCCGGGGGCGAGGCACAGGTGGGGCTCCTGCCCGTGTGCCCCGCCGCGGGGCTGACCTCTCCACCCCCCTGCCCGCCCCTCCCCAGGTGTGCTCCAGGGCCCCCGCCCAGCAGCGGTTCAGCAGCCAGAACCTGGCGGAGATAGTGCACAGCTTCATAGCCCCTGGTAAGGCGCCCCGGGAACCCTCGGGAGTGCTGGCCCCCTCTGAGCGCCGGGCCCTGGGGCTGCCTTGTCCCGCTGCCGCCCTTGACTCGGGGCACGACTGAAGCTGTCCTTCCCCCTCACCCTCTGCAGCCCGCTCCTACCCCAAGGAGCTGATGCAGTTCTTCCTCAGTCAGATGGAGATGAGCAAGGAGGCCATCCGCGTGGGGACCCTGGCCCTGATCGGGGCAGTGGTGCGCGCAGATGGTGAGCACTCACCCCGCAGGGAGACCGGGCGGGAGCAAGGGTGGCAGGTGTCAGTCATATCTGGCCTTTTTTTCCCCTTAACTGTTTGGCCACACCCTGCGGCGGCATGTGGGACCTGAGTGCCCTGACCGGGGATCGAAGCCATGCTCCCCGCGATGGAAGCACGGAGTCTTAGCCCCTGGACTGCCGGGGAAGTGCCTGGGCCATTTCCTCTCTGTAGACTCTGCTGGGTGGGCCGCGGAGTCAGGGCTCTCCGTGGCTCCATTTCCTGTTCTTGAACCTAACCAGCCTTGTGTCCCACCCTCCACAGCCTCGCCCCTGTCCTTCAGCCCTGATCCCAGCTTCTGCCTGAGCCTGAATTTCAAACCACAAATCCTAGTATAACTCCCAAAGCTAGCTGGAAGGCTGCCTATAAAGCCTAGATACACAGTATAGATGTGCCCTAAAGCCCCGTTGACCTAGTGCCTAAGCTTAGTCTGAAACCCTGCTTCCGAATCCCCTCAGCCCAGCCCCCAAGCCTGGCCTAGCGATCCCCAGGGACACGCTGTTCCCCAGAGTTCCAGCTCGGAGAGCTTCCGCTTGAATGTGAACGAGGCGCCCTCTGCTCGCAGCAGTTGGTCTTGCAGGGATGGAGAAGCACACATGCTGTGCGAAGGTGCTGCAGTCAAGCCCATTGATTCCCAGCACACGGGGCTCCTCTGTCCATGGGGTTCTCCAGGCAAGAATACTGCAGTGGCTTGCCATTTCCTCCTCCAGGGGGTCTTCCTGACTCACGGATCCAATTCACATCTCTCATGTCTCCTGCATTGGCAGGAGCGTTCTGTTTCACTAGCGCCACCTGGGAAGCCCTGAGAAGTGCTTGGTTGGCATCAGGCCAGCCCTTCAGCTACTTATCCTTGTGCAGTACACACGCTGAGCAACTGTATGTGAGAGACGTTCTCCTGACAGTAAACCCATCTTTTACAGAAATGCAAATTGAAGCAACAGAGAAGGTGAAACTTTATCAGTCATGTCTCACTGTTTCAGTTCAGTTCAGTCGCTCAGTCATGTCCAACTCTTTGTGACCCCATGAACCGTGGCTAACCAGGCCTCCCTGTTCATCACCACTTCCTACAGTCCACCCAAACCCATGTCCGTCGAGTCAGTGATGCCATCCAACCATCTCATCCTCTGTTGCCCCCTTCTCCTTCTGCCCTCAATCATTCCCAGCATCAGGGCCTTTTCAAATGAGTCAGCTCCTTGCATCAGGTGACCAGAGTATTGGATTTTCAACTTCAGCATCAGTCCTTCCAATGAACACCCGAGACTGATCTCCCTTAGGATGGACTGGTTGGATCTCCTTGCAGTCAAGGGACGCTCAAGGGTCTTCGCCAACACCACAGTTCAAAAGCATCAATTCTTGGTGCTCAGCTTTCTTCACAGTCCAACTCTTACATCCATATGTGACCACTGGAAAAACCATAGCCTTGACTAGACAGAGCATTGTTGACAAAGTAATGTCTCTGCTTTTCAATATGCTATCTAGGTTGGTCATAAAATTCCTTCCAAGGAGCGAGCGTCTTTTAATTTCATGGCTGCAGTACCGTCTACATCGATTTTGGAGCCCAGAAAAATGAAGTCAGCCACGGTTTGCACTGTTTCCCCGTCTATTTCCCATGAAGTGATGGGACCAGATGCCATGATCTTAGTTTTCTGAATGTTGAGCTTTAAGCCAACTTTCTCACTCTGCTCTTTCAGTTTCATCAAGAGGCTCTTTAGTTCTTCTTCACTTTCTGCCAGAAGGGTGGTGTCATCTGCATCTCTGAGGTTGTTGATATTTCTCCTGGCAACCTAGATTCCAGCTTGTGCTTCCTCCAGCCCAGCATTTCTCATGATGTACTCTGCATATAAGTTAAATAAGCAGGGTGACAATATACAGCCTTGACGTACTCCTTTTCCTATCTGGAACCCGTCTGTTGTTCCATGTCCAGTTCTAACTGTTGCTTCCTGACCTGCATACAGGTTTCTCAAGAGGTAGGTCAGGTGGTCTGGAATTCCCATCTCTTTCAAAATTTTCCAGAGGTGGTTGTGATCCACACAGTCAAAGGCTTTGGCATAGTCAATAAATCAGAAATAGATGTTTTTCTGGAACTCTCTTGCTTTTTCGATGATCCAGCGGATGTTGACAATTTGATCTCTGGTTCCTCTGCCTTTTCTAAAACCACCTTGAACATCTAGCTCACAGTTCACATATTGCTGAAGCCTGGCTTGGAGAATTTTGAGCATTACTTTACTAACATACGAGATGAGTGCAATTTTGCGGTCGTTTGAGCACTCTTTGGCATTGCCTTTCTTTGGGACTGGAATGAAAACACCTTTTCCAGTCCTGTGGCCACTGCTCAGTTTTCCAAGTTGACAGATATTGAGTGCAGCACTTTCACAGCAGCATCTTTTAGGATTTGAAATAGGACAACTGGAATTCCATCACCTCCACCTCCATGATCTCTGTGATGTGAAAGAAATCTAGGTGCTCATTTATGCATAAATGAGTTGAGAAGGATACACCTAAACCATGAAGGCTGGTTGTCTTTTATTTTCATTTCTCAGTGAACATAGACTATTTTTATAATCAGAAAAAAGGTTTCCATTTTAGAGATGAAAAGCTCTTAAGTGTAACATCGTCCCTTGGTGCCTGAATTCCCGCATCTTCCACCAGGACCTGATTTCCTGTTATTCTTCCTCCTGCAGTGACGTCTAGTAGCACCTAGACTTGAGTGTAGCAAGGGCCTGAGTTGCCTGACTGTGGTTCTGTCCACGCCGACCTCTCGAGAGCC